GGCGGGCTACATCAGCAAGCCGGTGCCGGGCGGCTGCGAGGTGCCGCCGGTGCCCCCGCGCAGGGTGCGCAGCGGGCGGGCGGCGGCGGCACTGGGGGCGGCGCTGGGCGGCCGCTGCCGGGCGGCGGGGAGCGGGGCCGGGGCCGCAGCGGGGAACGGGGCGGGTGCAGGAGCCGAGCCCCGGCGCAGCATCAAGTGTGTGCTGGTGGGGGACGGCGCCGTGGGGAAAACTAGTCTGGTCGTGAGCTACACCACCAACGGGTACCCCACCGAGTACATCCCCACTGCCTTCGACAACTTCTCTGGTAAGCGGGGACCGGGGGACGGCAGCGAGCAGGGGGTGGAGGGTGGAGGGGGTCGGTCCCGGAGTGCCCGCGGCCGGCGCGCTCGAGCGGAGCGGCTTGCGTCGGGAGCTGGCAGGGCTAAAATTTCATCTCCAGTGGTGGCTGCGGAGGGTGAGGCTCTGCTCCGCGTGCCTTCGGCCCGGCAGGGGCTCTCTGTGCTTGGGAACGCGTAAGAGGATGGTCGAGTGACGCCCCTACAGCAGGGGAGGGCACAGCGCGGGGGTCTGTGCCGTGCCGCTCGCGGGGAAATGAAGCGAGAGCCCCCAGGCTGCGTGCCCGATTGCTGGTGCTAGACCTGGCTCCAGCCCTGCTAAGCTGCATCCAGCCTAAGCAAAGAGAAGGGCTGTAAGGACAGGGAGACTGTATCTCTTCTTTCCTTCTTAACTCTTTTTTTTTTAAAAAAAAAATATATATATATATTTTTTCCTAATGGAAAATGTGCAAAGTTGAACTCACCACGCTTTTTTTCCCCTCCTCTCCCCACTAGCTGTGGTGTCTGTGGATGGCAAGCCGGTGCGACTGCAGCTCTGTGACACGGCTGGGCAGGTCAGTAAAGCCACCAACCCCAGTGACAAGTGGGGGGGGAGGTCCTAGGAGGAGAGGTCACGCAAAGCAGTCCCTGTGGTGACCCCGGAATCTGGAGGGCCACCTGGTATCTGCTGAGAGCAGTTGTCACTGGCTTCAATTTTTAGTTAAATAACCACAGAAATGAGAATTACTGTGTTTGAGACACAGGCATGTAAAACATTCGTAGCTGTAGGTATAGAGAGGTGGAAACTGTGCTGTTAAAGGGACTTGAGGGAGAAAAAAATACCATTTGGTGGCATCTGTGGAGACTTCACACTTTCAATTCCCAGCCACTAAGAAGTGCTGCCTCTGCCAAGCTGACAAACTCCTGCTACTTCCAGCTCCTCGTTTGCCTGACCAGAGCACCCATCTCTTGTGTTTTCTGCATGTTCTTGGCTTGTGTGTGTCATAAACACATGCAGTACTGTTTGAGCCCAGGTTGCTTGAGGTTTTTTGCTGCTTAACTTGTTTTTGAAAGGGATTGGAGCTGGATTCATTAACTGCTTTGTGGATCCAGGTCTGTGGCTTCCCCATAGCCACACGGATAAATCTCAGCGGCCTTAGCACACAAACCTAGTTAGGTGCTCTGCAAGCAGGTGCCCCACTTAAGAGAGGACTTCGGAGGGCTACTCAGCCTTGGCAGCAGTATAGGTCTTCCATTTGCCCTACAAACCCAACCTGAAAGCCTGCAAGCAGGTTATTACCTGCCTTCTGCAGGTAATAGCATCAGGTGTCCCCTGGTCTTGTGCCAGCGTGGAACTCTGTGTGTGCTCATAGGCAGAGCATGCAGATGACCGCACCTGTGTGGTGACAACCTGTGGATGTAGTGCCCAGGCCAGGTGGTGCCAGTCAGTCTGCTCACCTGCACTGCTGCAGAGTGAGTGGTTCAGGTGTTTGGCTGTCCAAGTGCCCTGGAACAGGGGGAGTTGCTTCATTACAAATGGAGAGGTTGTCTACAGCATTAGTCATCCTGAATAAAATACGCCTGGCTGGGTGAGATTGCTGCTGGAATCTGCAGCTGAAAGAGCACTCCAGTCAGGGTGAAATTCCAGCTATTTCAGTGTCAGCAGCCTGAAGAGGTGCAGAGCCCTGCAGTTTGTGTACCTGCCATTGAATCCACAGGAGTGCACTTGGAACATGAAGGGCGCCGTCCCATCTGAGCAGAGACCCTTAAGATCTAGGTTTGACTTTCAAGCCCATTGAATCGAGTGCTGCTGAGGTTTCTCACGTTGTAAGAAGAGGCAGTTAGGCAGCGAGATTCCTTGCTGCAAATGGCCCTGTCCTTCAGTGCTGCAGCTCAGTGAGCACGGGGCTCCTCCAGTCAAATGGTGATAGCCTGCTCTCCTGTGAGCCTTAATCTGAGAATCAGCAGAGCTAATGAAGCTTGCTTTCTTGACTCGTGTTTTATAAATTGCTGTCTCTCTTGGAGTTGCTGCTGGAAGAAATTCATTCAAGTGGAACGAGACTTCTGAGGCTTCCAGTGGGCTTTAAGCTGCATATCCTTTGCCCTCACAGGCTTTAAATCAAAATTTCCCATCTTGAAAATTAACACACGACTTGCAATTCAGCAGCAAAATGCTGGTGTTGGAGAGATGTCTTCAGCTGCGTTTATTCTCTGCACTTTAAATTCGGAGCTTTTGAGAACGTGTCCATTTTAATTAAAAATGTCACTTCATAGAGGCAAATCCTACCTGCTCAGGCTGCTGGTGTTTCCCTGCTTTCATCCTGCTGTCAGCATAAAGGGCTGTGTGCAGTTAGTTAACCCTTGCTTCTTGCTTCATTCTTTGCTCCTTTATTACCTTCAGGTGCTCGGCTTTCTTTCCACTACCTCCTGAAGCTGCAGAAGGGCCTTGCTTTGTTGGAGTTTCCTCTAACAAAAAGAGGAAAGGAGGAGGGAGAAAAAAAAGATAGCACCAGGGAGGCCTCTCTGCAGTTTGTTTGATGTGGCATGGGTGGGAGGGAAAGGTAAAGCTCTTATTCCATGCCATTGGCATGTTAAGCCCGTGCATTGTGATTCGCTGTTGCTGCCATTGGATTTAAATCCCTGGTTACAAAGGCAGGGAAATTATTGCCTCTCCTGTAGGATGTTGTTAAGTAGCACTGGTTTCAAAATGTTTCCGGCCAGAGTGTGCTTGCTGCCACTTGTCTGCTGTGCTCTAGCCTGTGTCTGCAGGCAGGACGGTACCTTTGAGGCCCGCGTACCTTTTCCCTCCCATATCTTTCTTTTTAGCTTCATTGCTCTCTGTGGCTTTGCTGGTCCTTTTTTGGGCAGATACAGGGCAGAGGGCTGATGTGCAAGTAGCAAAGGAAATACATAAGCGTTTGAAGCTGCAGCATTAGAAAAGCTCAGCCGGGTGGGGGCTCGTGGCTGGGCATGGTCAGGCCTTGGGTCTGCACATGGGCCTGCTGCCCCACCTCATCCCAGTTTCTGGTGCTGTGGTATCCCAGGAGGACAGGGGTTGAAGCTGGGGGTGTTTTGCGGCCTACGCAGCGCTGTTTGTCATGTGCTAACACAGTGTCGTTCTGTCCAGGATGAGTTCGACAAGCTGAGGCCTCTGTGCTACACCAACACAGACATCTTCCTGCTGTGCTTCAGTGTTGTCAGCCCCTCGTCCTTCCAGAACGTCAGCGAGAAGTGGGTCCCTGAAATCCGATGCCACTGCCCCAAGGCGCCCATCATCCTGGTGGGGACACAGTCGGACCTCCGGGAGGATGTCAAGGTGCTCATCGAGCTGGACAAGTGCAAGGAGAAGCCGGTCCCAGAGGAGGCCGCAAAGCTCTGTGCTGAGGAAATTAAAGCTGCATCCTACATCGAGTGCTCGGCTTTGACTCAGAAAAACCTCAAGGAGGTCTTTGATGCAGCCATTGTGGCTGGAATTCAGTACTCAGATACCCAGCAGCAACCAAAGAAATCCAAGTGTAGGACTCCAGACAAGATGAAAAACCTCTCTAAATCCTGGTGGAAAAAATACTGCTGTTTTGTATAGGAGTTGTGAGGACCCGAGTGCTGCTCTGAGGAAATCAAATAGAAGCTATATTAGCTGAAATCTCATTCTGTGTTGTCTGGAGTGTATAGCTTAGGTCTGTATGTATGTGTGTATGTTGCTACTTGGTATCTCCGTTGCCCTCAAGAGGGTGGCAGAAGGATTTGTAGTTAAAATCATGGCTATAAATCAAGTCTGGCATTGAGTTTCGTGACTAATATCTTTCATTGCGGAAGAAGTGCACCATGTATCTGTGAAGTTATAAGGATTTGTCCAAAGGATTTGACTTCTTGTCTTACCATGTGTACCGGATCGGGAGGAACAGACAGGAGCCTTTTGCTGCAAGGGCTGCGCAGGAGGACTGTGGAAATGTAGAGCTGTGTACACGGACGGTTCAAGGGAAAATAACACTGTGCCTCCTAACGGACCTTTCTAGCTTTAAAAAACCCACTCCTGCTCTTTTCTCCATGTCTTCCCAAACCAACAGTCTTAGGGATCGCTTTAAAAAGGGTATGCAAGAGGTGTAATCTGTATGCAAATGCTGTGGTTGGAAAGGTCACATATATACCTTCAGCATGCTGTGAGGGAACCTGATATGTTACAGCACTGACATCTCATTTGTCACCTCCTGATTTGAGGGTCATCTTTGTCCTTTTCCCTTCATGCTGAGGGCATCATAAGGAAGCCCAAGGAGTGTTACTGAGCCTTAGCTCACCACTTTGGGTGGCAGTGGGTTTCTCTCTCTCTTTGTGTGGACGTGATGACAGTTAGTCTATTTCAACAGAAAGGAATGTAAATGCTGTTGGGTTGTTTTTTTTTTTTAAGTTTTTTTTTTTTTTTTTTTAAGTTTTTTTTAATTTTTTTTTTTTAAAGAGTTGTAACAAATATCTGTGCAGCACCATGCAAATTGCGTCTGTTTTTACAGCCAAGAGTTTCAGAATGCCCCTCCTTACCTCTCAGGCTGCTGAACAAACAACAAAGCAGGCAGATAAAGGTGATAACAGACTGGACTCCAGCAACTGAGGCTGCTGTGTCCTCTTTATCATGCTGTTTTCAACCAAGTTAATGTTTTCTTCCTAAAAGCAACAGTTGCTTATGGTTGAATCTTGTCCAAACTCATGCTGGGAAAATGGGCTGAGGCCACTCTGAAAATGCAACTGACAGTGTTTTCCCAGATCAGTCCAACAGGTTAAATGTCCCTAAAATATAGCTGAATGATCAAGGTAATGCAGAGCTGTGTGTGACCCACCCTCTGACTGAATCCAATTCCTACTGGGCTAAGCCTAATTTCAGTCCCTGTAGGTTTGAGAGACTGGAAGAGTAATGTGACTCTCTGCAAGAATGGTATTTTAACTTTTTCTGCAGAGGGCATTTAGTCTGTCTTTTTGTCTGTCTTTTTATGGCCCCCAACTACTTTTTTTTTTTTTTTTCCTTTCC